TCACAACGGATGCATTCTAATGAATTCTGAGCCCCCTAAAACTTTTTATGCTTTCAGCTTATTTGCTTTGTTTGGTCTTAGTTTTCACAGTTTTCTGAGATAGTTTGAAAGCGTGACTCAGGGGAGATTTTTCCAAATGCTCACAAAGATACCAAGTTATCAAGATCCCTCCATTACTGTGATAGCCCTCACATGGCTTTTTCTCTTTGCGTGCCCTGTTCCTGTTAAATTCTCTTCCGCTCCACCCCCCACTTTCTCTGTACTTTTCCTTCTCAACTTCAAGAAATCCTGTTCATCCCTTAATACACAATTCAAGTATCACCTCTGCTGAGATTCCTTCTTAGATTTTACATGCAGATTTAGCCATTGCTTACCCTGAGCTTCCACAGTTCTTAGTCAGAGGCCTACTATAAACATCAGTTTGTAGTATACAATATATTCCCCCCATGAGAGGGTAAGGTCCCAGAGGGCAGGAGTTATGGCTGGAATAGCAGTGAGGAACACCACCCTCTCTCAACTATTTCAAACATATTTCACCCCTGACAAAATTTCACCAAGGTAATTCCAAAATGTGTCCTAGGGAGTGGAGAAGTCCATGTCAATCTCATCTGATATTCGAATACATTATCTACTTTTCTCACGAAATCTGATGGATAACAATTTCGAGTTAGAAAACATGAGTTACTTTCCTGTTTCTTACTTCCTTCTGTATCCTCTTGGACAAAAATCAATAATTCTGTGCCTCGGATGCCTTGTCTGAACACAGGGAATAGATGACATGCTCGCCTCAAATTATTTTATCCTCAATTCAGGTCATAAAACAGAGGAGGAAAAATCTATCTTGGAAAGTAAGATCTTATTATTATTGGATAAGATCTGATGAATAATTTGAGTCTGAGCTGGAAGAACCAGACGGGAATGCAGGGGAAGAAAGCAGACACTAGCCATGCTCTGTCATGGAGCAAAAGCCCTTATGTTTCAAACTACAGAGACAGCGAAATGTTCATGTTTAAAACAGCTACACGGATTGCTTAGACTCCATTAAATTCTTAAACCACAGCTGTGAGATTTTATTATTTTTCTTTGTTTTGAGGGAGGGGAGGGGATGGTAGGCAATGGAACAAAAAAATGGAGGCTTGAATGTGCCTAATTCACACCAAATTCATTGGGTAATTGATCCAATTTTTATTTACAATACCCTGCGTAAAAACTTGGATATGGAGTAAAAACAGATTCAAGGGGTTCAGGAGGGTTGTGTTGCAGATGTGACTCTGCCACAATTGTGGCATGAATTTGGCAAGTCCCTTCAACTTCCCAGGCCAGGGTTCCTCCATCTTTCAAATAGGGTGGGGACTCTTTCTTGTTTATCCTGTTTTCTCAGTATTTATAACACTCTTGGATAATATTAGGTATAACTTTAAACTACATAAATGTAAATGTGATAAAGATATTTTATTTATAAATAATGTGTTTGTGTACTTTTATTTAAAGATATAAAAGGTGTAGATACATAAATAAGAATGTTAGTCTAGATGGTAGAAATGTCTTTTAGATATAACATTCAAGAGGTAGAGAATGCATTACCAACAGGCCTATTTTCTTTCTTTCTTGTTTTGTTTTTTTTTAGAGAGAGCGAGAGCATGGGGGTTAGGGAGGAGCAGAGGGAGAGGGAGAGAGAGGGTCCCAAGCAAGCTCTATGCTCAGCATAGAGCCACACATGGGGTTCCACCTCACGACCCTGAGATCACGACCTGAGCTAAAACCAAGAGTCAGATACTTAACCGACTAAGCCACCCAGGCGCCCTATTTTCTTCTTGATAGTAAGTGCTAGAACTCTTTGCTCTTCCTTCTAGGGCGTTAAATAGAATGTAGAAGAGTCAGGTAAAACGTCACAGAAGTCTATTATTACCTCCATGACCAAGCACAAGTGGTCACCCTGGGACTCAGTTTTTCCATTTGCAAATTGGCCACAGCTATTTAGATTGTGGAGATTGGAGATTAGCATGAAAACCATGTTTCCATATCTGCCACAGGAATGTTCATTTCCTTCTTGCTTCCTCTCTATGGGAACTAGCACAGGGCCCATGCATAGTACTTGCTCAATAACTTGTTGATTGGTGGTTTGAGATTTCTCAAACACAGTACAGTTATTTGCCCATACATTTTAAATCTTGTGGGAATTCCTGTTTCAGTGAAGTTGCAAATCCTTCCAAAATTTCCTACTCACCAAAGGATGTCTTAGTAAAATATGGATACGGGGGGAAAAAAAAAACTAATTTCACAGTAAGCATAGACAATCTCCAAGATTCTGTTCATTTAAAAATTATGGTTCCAGTAAATTGAGTTTCTCATTTATGTTCAAGGCAGACTCAGAATGACTCAGAATTAGAAACAGATGATAGCTTGATACATCTTCTTTAGTTTCTTCAGAACAGCAGATATCTCCTTGAAATCCCTTCATACAACCCACCTTAATAGGTTTGTACAGTTCTTTCACATAAACCATTGAAATTGTGGGAAGAAAAGTAAATTGGGGCTCTGTTGATCCAGATATTCAGCAATACAAAAAGTGGCTTTTTTATTTAAAAAAATTAGTTCATTTGAAAACAAACATTTTAACTTTCAAAAGAGGTTAATGTTGAGAATCAGTGCTTGAATATTTATATACTGTTAACACCAAATGAATCACAGGGGCAAAGCCCAAGAGGAAGATGTGACTCCATCACTCTGATTCCCAACGTTTAGCCATAAAGACGGCATTTTTTGGACCTGGAATTGTCCTATGAATTATATTCTCTCTAAAGTAATAGCACAACAGAACTATTAACCCTCTTTTATTCTTAACCATCTCAGAGGTGAGCTGGCTAGTCCTGTGTTAATCACACTGAAAAAGTTTTGCTCAACTATTTAATATATACAGTAAGGTGAGTGCAACCCAGCATTTTGTTATGTCAACAACTTCTGCCAACATTTCATTATGTCAAAAATGTCTGGTTATTGGGAAGGTGACAATGATTAGTCAGTACAAATAGTATATGGGGAAGGTCAAAACACTAGACATAATATCACCTCCAGGATAAGTATATTGCTTAAGGATGCCCTATCCTACATCTCCTCTCTCCGCAGTCCATTTCCATGGAATAGATGACTAAAAACCAGTCACTCTATTCCCACATCCCCCAAGTTCCTGGTGAAATGGGAAAATACCCAGGCAGCAAGCAAAGGTAATCCACAGGCACGCTGTGGGGCTTTTGCAGCATCTCTCTGACCTCAGACTGCTGGTAGCATTTCCTTTAACTCCTCTCCTGCCTCCTTCTTAGAGCTGTTTCTCTCCTATTTTCTTCTCACATTGTTCTTCCTCCTTGTATCTGACTATATCCTTTCAAAAGCTAGTTTTATTTTGCATGGATTATTTTCTCTTTATCCTTCCTCCTTCTTTCCCTCTCTCCCTAATCCTCACCTATTTTGATTCTTCCCCTTCATCGCTTCTCGGCCTTTTGCTAAGATCAAGTGTGATTCTTCCCCTTCAAACCATTACATTAAAAAAAAAGAAAAGAAAAGCTTTTAGAAAATTCCTCATTCTTACCCAGTTGCAAAGTTTTTTACTTCACATTTCCTTATTAGAAGAGATGACTTATTTTTCTCACTTAGACCAAGCATTTAGTGATTGACCAAATTCAGATTCACCTATTTCTTTTCTTTTTATAGTAATCCCTCATGGTGTTTTTTTGTTTTTTTTTTTTTTAGGGGGGTGATGTGGGGGGCGTTCAATTTTATGTCTCTTCCTCTTTTTCTAACCTCTTTACCTTTGTTGTTTCCTAGAGTCTCTCTCCCTATTCTCCTTTCTTTACCGATCAACTTTCTTACCACCTGTGGGCTCACTACCAAACGTACCAACTTTTTTGGGGTGGGGATATTTCTTACGCCAAGAATGTTGGCCTCAACTTTGAATCTTTTTGTCAAACACAAAACTATGGAAGATATATATATATATACTATATATATGTATATATAAAAGTATACATATATAATATATATACATATTTTGTCCATGTTAACTCGAATATTTCTTCTGGCATCCCCACAGATGTATCCCTCATGGGGATCTTTTTGAATTTATATAAAAAGTTATATTTACTTTTTTATTTTCTAGTGATAACCATAGCCCCAAGATAGTCACCTTTTGATCAGCCTCAAACACTGTTACCTATCTATTGTTTGAATTTGTTATATTTGGCCTTTTGAGCCCCTCAAGAAACCTGACCACTGACAACTTCTGTTGTGGTTTTTTTTTAATGTAGCAAAACAAATTTACCAGTCTTTACCTCCATTAGCATCCCATATCCCTTTAAGCATGTAGCTTTCTCTTCTAAACCTGTTAACCACAAAATTTGGTTTGATCACCCTGCACAGGTCCCACAAAGAATACCATTCCTTCAACCCCTGTCACTTTCAAAAACCAACTTTCCTCATGAGGCTTTCAAAGACCACACCATACTATGTTAGATCAGAGACAAGGAAAAGGGGACAGGAAGATCCCAATCAAAGAAACAAACACAACAATCAGCATTAATAATCCTTCCTGTGTGTCTATGTTTGCGTATGTGTGTTTCATTGACTATCATAGCACCTCTTTCTTCATGTGAGTATTTTTGAGAACAGGAGCATATTTTCCTGATACCATGGCTATTTCATAAATATCATGTTATTAACTTGAAAAAGGACATATAAATTACGATCAAATATCATCCAGCAAGAAATCAAAGGAAAAAAAAATGTTAAGTTCTATACATTATCACTGGCTGTCTTTTCATTCTGACTCATCTACATCTTTCCAGCAGTCCTTATTACTTTTAAACATCCTGTCAGATACTTGTGTTTAACTGCTACAGCTAGCTAGCCCCCCACGACATTATTATTATCATTATTATCAGTATTCACTCTATAGAGTTGCCTCTCCAGAGCTCCCTCCTTCCCCAGCATTTGGTATTAAAACTTACCGCTTTTACCAACTCCCCCAGCTCCCAGCATTACCACCTTGTACTCTCTGGACCCTCCTGATGCACGGCTGGGGGAGCAGCTGGCTTCGTTTTCTACCTCCATCTTACCCGAGAGACGGGAGGAGAAAAAAGAAAGAAAAAGTCGCCCGCCCGTGTCAGGTGCTCGCTCAGATACTAAGCAACTCTAAAACTGTGTCAAAAGAAAGGTTTAGTACGAGGTAAGAACCATCAGCGTCGGGCTCGCTGCTGGTCCTCTTGCTCGAGCGGGTCTCATAGCAACCACTTCAATTGCCTCCAATAAAAATCTGCCTTTTACATCCCCTCCTCCTTCCTATCCTTCACTCTGGCGTCTCCCACGATTTCTCTCATTCTCTGTCTCTGTCTCTGTTTGTTGGTTTTTTCTTCCCTTTTCCCTCCTCCGTTTCTTTCTTCATTCCCCTTCCTCACTCTGTCTCTCCTTTCTCTCTCCTGCCCCCTGCATGGTCGCAGTTGTTAGAAGCACGCATTTGGCTACTTTCCAGGCTGCCCGAATCTAAGACTTAGAAGATGCTATGTCTCACAGGCTGACTTCTGTAGCTACAGCTTCAAAAACACTATTTTCTTTTAATCAGAGTCAATTAATTAAGAAAGATGTCTGTTGCTTATCTCCTTGCTTCCATCTTCTTGCACGGTTTTCATTCTGGGAAAAGAGATGTTACCAATTGAGAAGAAAAAAACCCCAGTAACTCAGGGCTCTTAAGGACGAGTCTTTAGTGTTGTTGAAATAATAGCTGGCTACCAGAAATTGTTTCAGCTCACTTGACAGCTGCAGTTCTAACATAAGGAGGTATTTGAATTAGGTCATTGTCATGTTTGGACAGGGATCATCCTTGTTTACACTAGTTAAGGATAATCTAAAACAAAAGGATTCTGCCAAGCATGAAAGAGATACTTAATAAATATTTTTGCTGACAATTATCGCAGTATTAAAGATCCAAGAAGATTCTTTTTCAAATGTTCAAACTCCTACCTCTTATTTGAATTCTTTCAAATTCTGCTCTTCTCTACTTAGTCTGTTTTTCTTTGAAAAATTATTAAATTATAGAGGTCTTACAATGCTTTCAGTAATCACTAATTGTCATAGTCAGACCCTGTCTTTCAAACAAGTGATAATGATGTTCTGTAGGTTTATTGTCTATTTTCTGACTGTGAAATTGTATCATGATTAGATGCAGTCAAGTGTTTGGTATACATAGACTTATCTTTCTATTTAGATGTTAAGATCTTCTAGGAAAGGAACTGTATTTAATCAGTTCCTTATGACTCTAGAGTGTACGACCAAGTATTGGGCACAGAGGAGATGCTCAACATATTTTTGTTGGTAATTGGAGAGGTAACAAATAGTCATAGCCAAGAGCACAGGCTCTGGAGCCTGATGCTTGTGTTCAGGTCTGGACTCAGCCACTTAATAGCTGTGTGACCTTGGGTAAATTACTTCACCTCTCTGTGCCTCAGTTTCTTCATCTATAAAATGGTTTATTAAACCCTACTCTATTAACTCATTAAGTGAGTTGAAAGTTTGCACAGTGCTTTAAATGGTATCTGGCAAATTGTAAGCACTATTTTATTGTATATTATGATTATGATTATTATTTTGAGTTAATGGTGCTCCCAGCCCACTGTTTATAAGCACTCACCAGAAGAGAAAATTATGTCAAGTGTTTATTTGCCATCCACATGCCTTCTTTGCTAAAGTATCTGTTCAAAATAGATGTTCAAATATCAAGATGTTTGTTTCTTCATTACTGAGTTTTGATAGTTCTTTATATATTCTATATAAGTGTTTTATCAGATATATGTTCTGCAAATATTTCCCCCTGGTCTGTGGCTCTTCTACAGTGTCTTTCAAAGGGCAAAAGTTTTAAATTTTGATGGAGCCCAATTTGTGTTTTCCCTCCAAGCTTTAAAAATGAACCTTCCTCCCGGACATCCCATCAGACACCCTGCTTGTATCACTCTTATCCTCAACAAGGTCAATATCATTCTCGGTCTCAGCAGGGAGCATGTCACCCTCCAAGTTCTAGTTTTAGTTCAGCCTCTTCTTGTGTTTAACCTCTGTGCCTGAAGAGTCCTACAACTTATCCTCCCTGAGGACAGTCTCCCTGTCCTTTCCCTTTTTATAGTACTCAATTCATTCTGTATACTAATGTCAGGGAAATCTACCGAAAATGTCAACCTGACCAATCCTATTGTACACATATTCATGAATCAAATGCCTAAATAACACAATCTAATAGCCTAGAATGGCACATAGGAACACAAAGCATTTATTCCCATCTTGTGTCCTTACACTCCATAGAACAGAGTCAGGCAAAGTGGGCTACTTGCCTTTCTTCCAACAAAACTGTCATTTCCATAATTGGATCTAATAAAGAACTATAGCTGTAGTATAATTATCCTTTAATTGATTCATTGAAACTTTATTCCTCAATGAAAAGAGATATGTAAACAGTAGCATTTCGATTCAAGGTCTTTCTGGGTTTTGTTTCTACTTCTGGTGCAAAATTCTTATGACCTTGAGCAAATCACTTGCGCCTCTGGCTATCTGTTCCACCATCTGTTACTCTGTTTTCCATGTCAGCCATTCTGATTTGGTGGTAAAACACAGGGATTGCCATGCCAGCTGTGTCCTTGGTGTTCTTTTTTACAATTATTTTAATATTGGTTAAGAGGAAAGAGCCCATGGAAATGTCTTTTAACGGTAAATAGATGAATGGCTTGTCAAATATCAGCGGGCATTGTGAGAGGGAAATTTAGTGAGTTAGCCTTCTCCTCAATGTTTAATGCATCTGTCCATACTCCTCAAATGGAAGTCAGCAAGATTTTTCCCTATTTACATGGAAGATGAAAAACGTGAAGGGCAGGGGGGACTTTCCCAGTATAAAGCTTTCTTTGTCTACCTCTTTTGTGAAATTCTAAGGTACTCCACTCTAATCCCTTCTCTTGAGTTACTAAGGGCCACAAAACTCCTGACGTTTGAACTTTGAAACATTCTAATGCTACTGATCTTCAGTTTTGGTTAGTGAACTTTTGTGAATTTGCATGCCTGGTTCCTTAACCTGTGCACCCAAAAGTCTAAGGGGGTGTATGTTCACATGTGTGCATGTGTGTTTGCATGTCAGAAATGATGGGGAAGAGGGAGGGAGAGAAAGGGAAAAGGAAAGAAAGGAGGGGTGAAGAGAGAGGAAGGTATCTTCCAGGTGTATACATGAAATTGAAATGCAATAGTTAAGTAACTAAAGTCATTACATGGCAGATTACTAAACTCTTAGGAAAATCATTAAATGATTGAAGTTTATATTTGCTTCCTCTAACCTACCCTGGCACTTGCCATCCTTTTTGAATGCCATGTGATTCCCTTTGAGTGCTCATGTCCATCAGATGAAGGCCCAGAGCCTTCAGAGTTGTTTCAGAGCCACTCAGCTCCCTGAGCAAGATCCAAGTAAATTCCACCTCATTTCTGTCAGCTGCTGCTCACCTTCCCAGGACTTAGAGGACAAGCAATTCCTTCAAAAGGAATACATTAACCTATTTACATGGATATCTTTCTGAAGTCCTTTAGCTAAAGTATCCAGTCACTGTGGAAGCCAACATACTTTACTCTAGGGGAAGGTTAGGCATATCCAGAGTTCTTCTCTTACTTATCTTGTCACCTACAGGCAGACCTCCTGACACCCTTGTCAGGATAAACCAGTCTTCCCTTTATTAGAGTATTTACGATATTTCTTACAATGATTTATTTACCTTCCATTTCACTTCACTCAAAAGTGGTGAACCTGCCACCATATTCATCTTTATCTCTACAGAGTTTAGCACGGTGCCTGGTGTATACTATATGATGAAGCCATTTTTATTTAATGAGGGAATTAACTGTACCAAGTGGGTGACTGTCTGTTGCACTATTAATTAAATTAACCTTTCAAAGTGTATTATTTACTATTTGTATCTCAATGAAAAGATAAATCATGGAGGGAAGAAACAGTTAACAACTTAGTTGATAACCTCTGGGTAAATTCATGTTTGACATGCACATTCTCACCATGAAATGTAAGACCGTTGTAAACCAGAAGAAAGTACAGCTGCTCAGGATAAACAAACAAAACTAGAAACGTCAAGTGGAAAAGAGCTAATTTTGCAAATGGGAGACAGAGTTCCATCTGCACAGCACAGACTTCTGTATCGCATTGACCTCCTCATGATAATACTCAGTAAAATTCACATTAGGTGTTAATAATTCTTGTGGAATAACTAAACTTTTTTCCTGAAGGGTTATTAAGGTTGAAATACCTGAAAACAGGGCTCTTATACATGATCTAAATAGCCTGCATTCATTCATTTATTCATTCTAACATGGATTCTTTCTTTAAATATGGATTAACTTGCTTATTCTCAAAATCATTCATTCAACCGTGTTAGGGTTTTTCAAAAAATAAAGGAAAACACAATACAGTCCCTGAGTTCAAAGTGATTATGTCCTCATGTGGGAGAAAGACACCTATATACCAGTTTCTGGAATAAGCCAGCATGTGGCAGGTAATTGAATAGATGAACGAGCAGAGTCTGACAGCAATATGAGGGGAGGAGAGACTGATTCAAATAAAAAGAAAAGGTGAGGTGTCTAGGAAGGGGGAATATCTTGGACTAGATTTAAGATAGGACTTCAAATAGAAGATATGACAAAAACAGGGGTATTCAAAGATTAGTGAATAGAGTGTTTGGTGAATTGCAAATTAATACTACATTGTTGATGCATAAGAACATGGGAGTATAGTCCAAAGTTTGGATGGTAGGTGAATCACCACGAGCTTTAAATTGCAGCATACAGAGTTTGGATCTCTTTTCTTTTCCTTCTTTTTTAACCTCTATCTTTAAACAAAGGATGGTGCCCAACTTTGAACAGTAAATAATACAAGCTTCTGATTAGAAGAAAATCAAGGTCTTGCTCAAGTTACTTTTCTTTAACCAAGCTTTTGTGAATTTTTCAAATCCCAGTGATTTGAAATAAGCTGAATTTCTATATATTTATTATCATTGTAGTCACTCATTTCACTTAGCATTCCATTATTTGCTGAATTGTGATCTACTTGAGAAGGGAGCCCCTTACCTTTTTTTTTTATTATTTTTTTATTTTCCATGGTTCTGGGCCCAGGTGCTGACATATCAGAAAAGAACAATAAAAAAAAAAAAGTTAAGACTTTTTTGACCAATAAACTTTAGTAAAATCTGATATGGTTACTACAGA